CTTTTTGATACATAATACAGCTGTTGAAAGTTTAGTGATCTTTTGGCATGTGTCAATTTAAGCCATTATACCTTGCAGACAGTTCGTAACTCCTAGACAAAAGCTAAATACTGCTTTATCCAAAGTGCTTAGATGTGGCCATTGCTTGGATCAGAAACTCCCTTGTTTGGTCTAGAGGCAGATCTGAACAGGGACCGATCCAGCGCAAAACACTGCTGCCCGGATTCTGAAATCTTATGAACAACAGGCTTTGCCTGTAGTGAATAATTAAACAAATGAGCCTAATGTTCCCTGCCTGTGTTGATTTTGGCTTATTAATTGCGTGTGTGATCCCGTGACCCATATTTTGCTGCAAAGAGCAACCCCCTCGCCAGCAGTATGTGGGGCTGCCTCCCCGGGCACGGGCTGCCTCCCGCTTTGTTCTCCACCACTGAACAAACACAGCATTTCTACTGTATTTAGTTTAACACCCCAATATAAGCAGGCTCAGGATTAGACCTTCTGTTTATAAGACTAGGTTTAAAACAAGTTTGTTTTCTCTGCTTAATCCAGATTAATAAGAGATTTGCATTTTGTGTCATTCTTCATTAGCTGTAAAGCCCATTAGGATATATTGCTTGCTGTGTGATTGCACAGATACTACAATACTCTCTGATCATGAGCTCAGATATAAGGACATTCTTTATAATTAAGCACAGCGGATCTTTTAATTGATTTAATACAATGCCTCTGCTTTGTCACACATCTAAATTCAGTTGACAGACTGGCTCTTTGTCTTCAGAGTTATCAGCTGTGTTTAACCTTGCTTTACTTTTAGAAACAGCAGATAGGGCAAGTGTAAGAATTTGTCGGCCATAAATCATAATTGCATGTTCCAAAGAAAAAAATGCATTCGTACGCTCATATTACTATTGATATTGCATCGCTTTTACGTCTACATCTAAGATCTTATTCTTTGCCTTGTTTAAGATTTGTAACAAGGTTACACGTTTTCACAAGCTCCTGTTTTCTTCTTTCAGGGTTGAATTCTGCTGTCAAAGAATCTGACTGCAGATCTCCTCCGAACATGGAGCTGAGATTGTGCCCTAAGAAAGGAAAGCAAATCTAATATCTTGTTAAAGCTTTTTAACACATATTCAAGGGGTTATTTTCTTTTCCAGAAGAAATATGACCACATCAAGGACTGTATTCCAAACTGGCTTTGACTACCAAAATCCAATAGATGGACTATTAGCCTGAATGCCACAGAACAAAGCAGTGGTTCATGTTGCAGGTATGAAAGCCAGTCTCACCACTGAGGAGGAAACAAACTCTGTGTAATTAGGAGTTTATCATCCTTTTCCCCACAGACTTTTGCAATACTAGTCCTTCATGGATTTTGACTGTTGCTTTCATTCTTGGTACATAGCTCATTCAAGTTAAGATGAGGACAGAAAGACAGGAAGGATGTCTGTGATAGCTCAAGGAATTTTTTGATCAAAGACATTCGGTATTAAGTATAAATACCCAGATTCAGCCTAGTTCAAAGAGCAAAAAAAGGACTGTCACTGATTCTGCAGTTCCAGCTGCTGAATGCCAGATAGTCCACGATCAGTCATCTGGCCAAGCCAGTACTTTCCCCGAGCACAACCTACTAAATCGTATTAAATCTGTACATCATGCAAGTGTCGCATTTCATCATCTGGGTATGTCCAGGGATGGCCCAACCGCGGCAGCACACAGCATAGGGAGTGCAGATGCTTGGGTAGTCTTTATGGCTAAGGCAGTGCTGAAAATGAGCTGTTTCACGCGGTTTCATGACTAAGCCCACCAGCCTAATTTGTGGGAATTGGGACTCTCCCCCTCTTTGTCTATGTCCTGGCTAAACTTCATTGCCAGCTCCATATCCTTAACAGGAAAGCTGTTTGTGATCCTCCTCAGCCATCTGTGCTTCATCCATGATCTTACACGTGACTTACTCTAGCTGCAGCCTAATTAACTTTCAATACCCACAGTCTAACACGCACTTACTTGGGGGCTCGAAAGGAGAGGGAGGGCAAGGTCATTTTCTGAATCTTGATTACATGGTTTAGTAGGAGCTGCCCAAGTCTGTTTGAACACAGTGGCCTTGAGCAAAAATTCCCTTTGCTACTCCTTATCTCAGCAGAGATCTACAGGTTATTTGCACTGCTCAGCAGTTAAGGGGGAAAAAAAATTCAGACCTAAAGAAATCAAACCTAAAAGCCTTTCATGCAGATAACGTTGAGAAGTACTTTTCTACCATAAGGGAATAACAAGCAGAGGGCAGCATACTGATGCAAACGAATTTCCAGCCAGAGAACATTTTCAATATTAATACTAAAATAAGTTGTAAAACGAATGTTTCATGGCATGAGGAGAAAACACTGTTTGTTTTGCTAAATTAGATGTGTCCATTTCTGCCCCTTGCCTCAGACGTGCGCAGATTGCACTCACAAAATGAGGACTAGCCCAGAAATACACATATTGTGGGTTTGGTTTTAGGGGGCTTTCAGAAGCTGGAAAGGAGGAAACAGTGTCACATGGAAGTATAGGTTTTAGTGCCTTCTGACTTAAAAGTTCAAGTGGTAAGCTGGATATGTGGGTACCCAAAGCAGTTTTGGGAATAGCATAAACTCCTTCAGGGAGTTCTTCTGATTAAAAATGCTGTGACTATATGATAAAAATCAGACATTAGTTTCAAAGTGAGATCTTCCATGCATAAACGTTTTTAGGAGATGAATTTTGGCATCACTGATCCTACAAACATTGCCCCTTGTGTTTAGCTCAGAGCCTTTGTAGTTCATCAGGATAAAAGACTTCTCAAGTGAATAGAATAGTTCCGAGTTTTGGGCCCAAGCTGAGAAGGAAGATGTGCCACCTTCTGCCCTAGATGAGGGCTGCAGAGTGAAGAGCCTGCTGGGGAAGTGTCTGTTGGTTGTGACCATCTGGCACTGCCAATGCCTCTAAGGAAACTGTGGGAGAAGTGTAACTCTTTTCCCTCTTTACCTAACACACTTGAAGGAGATAGACAAGCAACCTCTCTGCAAGCTTGTTCGTTTTGGTTGTTTTTTTTTTTTTAACCCCTTAGCAGAAGTCCAAAGGACTGAGTTGAAAAGTAAAATCAAAAGGCAAACTCCTTAGCTGACTGTGTCAAGTGGCACAGGTACAAGGATCAGGCCTGCAGGCTTTAACCAGCAGAACAGGTTTCTGTCCATCCAGAGAGTACGTAGGGATGCCTGCATGTTCCTTCAAGGAAAGAAAAATGGACGTTTTCTGAGTTACAAGCTACGACCTCAGGCTACGACCCAGGTAGAAGACATTTTAAATTAGCAAAACAGAAAACAGCTTGCTGGCCCAAAGGCAACACGACTCTTGCCCTATTCAGCCCTCAAGGAGGAGATTTTAACTAAAAATCCTAGTAATGAATAATTTTGCAGGTCTTCAAAAAAACCAATGCTCAAAATGGACACCTGCAGCCTGAGAGAGAAATTTAATTGCTCCCATAAGCATAAGATATGCATGAGTTCTCTGTTTGCCTATGCATACAAATATTTATGATCAAATTTACATGCACATTGATGTACACAAGAGAGATGAGGTAAGATCAGTCTTTCCGACAAATTATCCAGAAAACTTAAAATATGCAATGTGTATCTGCTATACATTGGAAGAAAAAGTATGCATCTGGTACAATGTCTTATTAGGTTCTATAGTAACTGTGCCCATTCCAGGAAAATATAATGATTTTACTGTGAAGAGTTAGATGAAACTTCTGCTCTGTGTACACCAGGGGCTGGGAAGGCAAGAAATTAATAAATAAAAATCTTTGGATGCATAAAAAATGGGATGAAAACTAATACAGAAAATATTACAATGGCTTTGTGGAGATAGCTTCTTTTTACTCTTACAATTCTCTGTCCAATTTTCATTGCTCCACTCCCCAAAATATAAACCAAACATACAGCGTGTTCAGAGGTGGACTGAGAAATAGCAGAGGAATGTAAAACTTCCATTTGAAGACAGGAAGAAAATATAATATGTGTTTATTTTACAAAGGAAGTGAATAAAAATGAAGATGATAGAACTATTTAAAACAATGAATGCTGCAAAAAGGAAAAATATTAATATCTGTGTAGTTGTCTTAGAATGCAAGCTTTCAAGAAAAGTGAGAAAGGGGAATTCCAAAATGATGAAGGGAAAGGCTTTAAAAAAATACATATATTTAAGCCTGTGGAATTCAGTGCTGTGAGACTGTGGTGAGGTCAAGTGTATGCCAGCATTCAAGAAAGGGGGGAGTGTTTACACTGATAAGAACATTTGAACTTAGAAAAGTGTGTTAAAGAAAAATCTTTAAAACTAAAACAGTTGTGGAATATAGCAAATCATCTGCTAGGTAGTGTTTGTCATGAAAACAGTATGTACAAATTATCTTGAAATTCTTTATGATGAAGTCTCTTGCTCTTCACCCTGAGGCAGATGATATTGGTTCTAAGACTAAGACTAACATTCTCCTGATTTAACTGGCCCCAGCATTATGTTTATGAAATTGTGTTTACAAAATTGGTAACAAGTAATTTTGCATTGAGAATGTTTATATTAGCATAGGACTCTTTACCTCAAAATAAATAATGCTTGATTATCTACAGTCACTTCACATGTTTATAAAAGCTGATATGAACACTCCCCTGTGTTTTCTTCAAACCACAAACATTTATTCTTGGTCCAAGCCTGGAATACACGTGTTGGAGGTGTACAAATCCACTGAGGAAAACACACTTTAAGTAGTATCTTAATTAGCAGCTAACTAACCTAAGGTGCAAAAGCCCAGCAATAAAGACAAGCTTTAAATGCCCATGATGAACTGTCAAGCACACGTTCAACACCTGTGGTCTTTTCCCAAAAACATTTTTCCCCTTGAGTCATGTTTTTGTTAACCTTCTTATTTTCTAGACCAATTTGCATGAAACGAGCATCCACAAATCCACAATGCGAAGTGGATACCCAAAATGCAAAAAGACAAGCTATTTTTTTTCTACTCCAAAGTTTAGTTTATACAAGTCACCAAAGCAAAAACTATGTTATGAGGTATAAAGTGATGTGATAACAATTACTTAATCAGTGAATTAATGTTTATTTGTAAGATACAAATTAAAGCAAATTTCAGACATTTGGATTCCAAACCCAAGTGTGCTCTTTCCCTCAAGAAAAGGCTATTTTTACTTCTGTTAGAAAATACTGTAAAAAATGAACTGGGTCTTGATAGTTTTTCAGAATTTCTCAGCTATGATCATGTGCCAGCAAATGGTCACCACGTTCCCGGCTGTTGTGTGTTAAATGTCTGTACTGCTCGTGTCCAGTCTGGCATTTGTTTCTCTTAAACTGCAGAAGCAAAAAACGGTAATCATGACTAAAAAATTTTGGTAAGCAGGTTACTTTATCCCCATTTTCTTCTTCTTGTTAGTCCTTTAATGACAAATGTGTGTAAAACATGAGCTTTTCGGCTTAGAAGATAATGAAAGAGCGAGCAGTGACATGAATTCCACTTGAAAATCTAATTTGCTTGCAAAGTAATGCAATCCCTGTTAGCCCTCACATCATTAAACTGCATACACCAGTAGATGTAATCCATGGCAGCATCTTCCCACTTTCCAAGAAAGACTAATTAGCTGAGTTTTACGGTAAGATCTCATCTAGCAAGATACCATTATCTTTGATAAAATCAATTTCAATTTATATCAAAATTCAGAAGTCAAAGAATAAGCAGCATCTTACCAACCGTTCTCAATGCTGCTTTTGATTTTTTTTCAGTTCATGCATATTTTATACTGGAGAAGGAGGATTGTTCTTTATTCTTTATATCAGTGAAATGAAGTTATCAATTTCCATTGCTGTGCCAAAAATAATCAGTTTGAACAATGCTTTCAGCTGACTATTGGGCAGGAAATGACTGAAATTTTTTTGGGGGTCCTCACAGAATTTGCTGTACAGGACAGACAACTGGTTCATCATAGTCTCATTTTGCTTCCGGAAATAGCCTTTGCCTCACGTCCTCTCTGAAGACAAAGTTCAGCAAACCCCTGTAAGCACTGTGCTGTTATCTATTAGTGTACAGCATGCATCACAGACTGAGGAGGAAAATGAAGAGAGGTGAGCTCTGTCTATGCCCTTCCCTAGAAAGAGCTCCTCAAAATGAATCAAACAGCTTTCCAACTCAAAAGCCAGACTGTGTTAGAGTATAGGCTAGTATATTTTCAATAAACTCAAAGTGAGGAATCCAGAACAGAAATATAAAATGCTTGTAGCAATATCCTCCTGCCATGTTCTTGCAGCGTAGATTTAAATAAAACTTGCTTCCAGTTTTATTGGCAATCAATTCAGTAACTTTGATATGCAGCAAACTCTGCAGCCTCCCTTCTGCTCCCTAGCAGGTTTTCTTTCCAGCATTTCTGTGGCCTAACTCAGCGACCTCTCCATCTGAGCTCTGGGGTCTCTCCAGTGACCCTCACACTCTGCCTTGCACTGAAGGAAATCTCTTGAGGAAATTAGTTCTGTCATCAGAACAGGGTTTAAGTAGCGTGCCATAGATGAGGCAGGAAGAGGCCTTCAGCATTAAACAGTGAAGGTGAAATAAAGTGTCTGTGTGTATGAATTAAGCCCCCTTACCTGCGTGCCAAAGGAGGCAGGAGTCCTGTACGAGCCTGCAAGTGTGTTTGTGTAACCAGGGACTGCATTAAGTGGCACCGTGCAACGTGGACATCTCAGGAACCTCACTTTTCTGCCCTCTCGCCAGTCATTGTGTCTTTCAAACCTGGCTATCTTAGCAGAAGACCTTGCACAGAAGAAAGGGAAATCCGTAGGACCACCATCAGAACATCAAACATTATTTCCTAGGATGGTATGATCCACAGAAAAATAGAGGGCTTGGCTTTCCAGATCTGTGCAGTATCCTTGGACATTGGGTGACTTTGGGACTGTGCACCTCCAACTCACCTTCACCATCAATACTGTGTTAGTAGCACACAGTGTTACTTCATATACAGTAATAACCAGACACGACAGGAGAGCAATTTTCAGTAGCAGTCTACTCAATTTGAATGTGTGATGCCCCAATTAAAGCTTCATTCAGACCGCTGACAATCTTTAGGGCCATTACACCTCCTTACCTCCCAAAGAAAAGGTTTTTTGTTCAGGAGGGCTTCCTGTGGAAGACATTTTCTGTGATCCGGTGATACGACGCCCAGTCCAGTTCCTATTGCCATCAGTAGAAAAACACTTCTGTAAAAGAAGCATCACATTAGAATTGTGTCCCTGAGCCGCCAACTGCCCAGTTTCCCCATCTGTGGGGCGGGAATAAGCAGGCAACATGTAACGGTGGCAAAGCGCTTTGGGATCCCGGGTGAAGGAGGCTGAGATCCACAGTATTATTCTTGGTCTCGTGACAGACTGGATTTCACTTAGATGCCGTTATTTTGAGCCGTGTGTTATGTTATTTGCCCGTCCAAGCTAACGGCTAACGACAATGAATCACTCCCCACACTTCACTGAGAGAAATCAGCGTTATTTACACATTATAGCGCGGATAAGGCAGAAATACTGTTCCCATCCCTACAGTAAAGGATCTGTCAGCACTTTCATTACCATACTTTAATTCCAGTGGTTTGCAAGCCCATTTTGATTACCCCTACCAAACAGACTGCTATTTTTCAGCTTTATTAATGTTAAGTGAATAAATCATGGAAGTTAAAATTGCTTTTGTTCTCCCACAACTGAAATTGGCTTGAAGTTGAAAAATGAAATTTGGGAAGCAGTTCAATTTCTCCAAAAGAGAGAGATAAAGAAGTTAAAGGACCGGCCGCTTCACGTGCTCACACTGTAATCTCATGATCATGCATCTACATCTGTATTGACATGATGATCCACCGGAAAAACTAATACTCCTGTGGAGCTATTCCAATTGCTCAGATACCTAGTATCATTTTTTAAAACAGCTGAAATACATATTTATGTTGTGTCTGGGTGGTCCCTGGGTTAAAGAATGTGCCTCCAATAACTTTCCATCAAACATATATTTTTTATTTTTAATAAAAAAGAGGAAATTAAAGACAAAAAATGATGTTATTTTAACATTCAGGTTTCAACAATAATGAAATTCAAATTCAAGCTTGACACACCATCTTAGCTCATTCAACAATGTCTTTTTAAGAAATGTCAATAAGGGGATGAGTTAAGAAGAATAAATCAGCCTTAAATGAAAACACCCAAGTTATGTTTCATTCCTGAAAAATGTGTGCGCGCGAAGGATTTCCCCCTTATGTTTTTGTAAAAAGAACTCGGGAGCTTAAAACACTGAACTTCACTCAATCATGCTCAGGCTTTGTTTTTTTGAAAGCGCTTGTGAGAAGGACTTGGGAAAGCCATGGCCAGCAAGTCACACAGCCCCTCTTGGCTGCCTGCCCCGGGAAGGGGACTCAGCAGTCCGTGATACCTCCGAAGGCAAGAGGACCACAGCCTGGGCTTTGCTGAGGATTCCCCAGAGCTCCTGGATGCTGGCTTCCTTCAGCACGACTAAGGAAAATGCGCTCTCTCTCTCTCTCTCTGAGAAGGCCTCACCTTCTGTGATGTGGAATAGGGTGGACAACCACAGATGCTGTTCTTGTCGTGTCTCTGATTGTCTTTCCAGACACAGTGCCAGTGGTGCCTCACGCTGCGTACTCTGACAGGCAGTATCTGGCTGTTCATCTGCATTTTACTGCTTGTCAAGGTCTTTTAAAAGCCATCTACACTTGTTTAAAAGGCTGTCGTGGGACAGCATGAAGGATAGTTGCCTTCTTGCCGTGCTTTAGCTGCGGGAGTAGATAAATGCAACCTTGTGGAAGGAGAGGAGAGGAGAGGAGAGGAGAGGAGAGGGAAATGGCCACCCCATAGTTGGAAATCCAGCTGAAGATCATAACATACAATGTCTAATTTTTCCTCGTGGGATTTAGAGTCTGTGGCTGGACATTCTGATGTTAAACCTTAGAGTTACCTGATCTCTACAAGGATTGCACTCATCCTTTACTTTTGCTTGCTGGTATTGGAGGAAAGATAGCTCATGCTGTCACGTAGAATCTATACATCTTGGCCTCCATGCTTTATTTAAAATTTCCCTCCAAGTATTAATGCCTTTGCAATGAGACCAGTGCCATATATTAATTAGGAAAAGTTGGGATTAATCCACTGAATAGCTATCTTATGGCACCCCATAGTGATCACTGATTAGCAGCAAATGTACAAATTCATTTTACAAAATTGAAAGCTTAACTTAAATGCTAATAAATAAATTATGATTAGCAAATCCAAAGTATCCTGTTTGATTTTGACTTTACATGGTAACAAAACCATACAACTTAAATAAGCAGACAAGCAGCAATACTGTTTTCTCTAGAAACTAAGTTGCTGGTACTAAAGCAGATACAAACATACATTTCTTTGTAAAATATGAACTTTCAATTGCTTAGATACAAAACTCAACTTAAGGATTTCATGTGTAACTTTCAATGGTGCATGAGAATCACAAGTGAGAGACAGGGATGAGAAATGGGGTGAGGCAGCCCTTGGGCCCTTTTCTTGTCCAAGCTGAGGGAGAAGAAAAAAAGAAGTGGATAAAACATCAGCTGTGAAATATCTGAACTGGCAAGATAGCTTCTGAGTTTTAAAATTCTTCATTTTAGCAATCTTTATGCTAGATGGTCTTTTCTGAAAATACGCATAACTGCAGGCAAAACTGAATCATGAGAAGTTAGTCCTGAGAACAGAAACAGAAGGACAGACCACGTGTGGACAGAAATCCCCTTTTGTCCCAGTGCTGACAAATACTCCCAAACCAGTCATCATTTTGGGAGGAAACAGTTGCTTCATGCAAACACTATGATCTCGAGGTCATGCTTTCTTGCTTAAGACATATCATTTCTGTAATAAATCCCCTGTTTCTCACAGTGCTATAGCTCTTGTCCCACAGCCCTCTCCATGAAAGATGAAAGGATAGGCAATCATGAACCACGGCCGTAAAGTACAGCGCATCCCCTCGGGTATACGATCAGCCTGTGGAAATGCAGCCATTCCCCCAGGACACCGAGACCCTTTGTTCTCTCTATTTTGCCCCTAATTTATTCTGTGTTCCTTCTCCTGCATCCGATGCCTCCATGAGTGAAGAGACCAGGGTGCATGCACTCTCGATGCCCACAGACAAGGCTGCAAACTTGGTGACACAGCACAGTCATAGAATCATAGAATGGTTAGGGTTGGAAGGGACCTTAAAGACCATCTAGTTCCAACCCCCCTGCCATGGGCAGGGACACCTCCCACTAGACCAGGTTGCTCAAAGCCCCATCCAGCCTGACCTTGAACACTTCCAGGGATGGGGCATCCACAGCTTCTCTGGGCAACCTGTTCCAGTGTCTCACCACACTCATGGTAAAGAGTTTCTTCCTTATATCTAATTGAAATCTCCCCTCTTTCAGTTTAAAACCATTACTCCTTGTCCTATCGCTACACTCCCTCAGAAAGAGTCCCCTCCTATCTCTTCTGTAGCCCCTTTTGGCTACTGGAGGATGGCTGCTATAAGGTCTCTTGAAGCCTTCTGGAAGAGCACAATGCTGTGCTCTGCTCCTTCTCCAGGCGCGTTGTCCCACTCCTCCCCTCCAGCAGGAAAGCGTGGGCCCAAGGCAAGGTGACAGCGGAGGTGCCAAGGCATGGAGTGTCCCCAGAGCCGTGTGAGGAGACCACCCGGGGCCCTAAGCTCTGAGAAGCCAAACGAGCCTTGGGCACCTACGGCACAGAAGGTTTTGTGTGAATACAGAGAAACCCACCCGACAGTCTTGGTCAAATACCCAGGCTCCAGGTCCGCTTGTAGAATTCTTTCTTTTCTTTCCCGAAGCTGGTATTATTTAAAGCTTCCTTTTTGAAACCGATAGATACCACGCTAAAGATTTAGGATGTTTGTGACATTAAAACCGACCTCAGCACAGCCGCACCTCTCACCGGAGGGACCCCGCCGGGCCGGACCCATCCTGCCCGCCCCTTCCCTCAGCCCGGGGACACCTCGCGCGCCCCCTCCTCACCCGCTGCCCCCCCAGGGCCCGCGGAGGGGCGCGAGGCCGGCGGTGCCCGCGCGGGCGGGGGCCGTTATTGCGCCCTGAGGCGAAGGTCTTTCGGTCGGCCCTGCGAGGCGGGTGGCAGGGGAGGCAGGGTGTCTCCCTCTCCCCCGCCGCGGCGGGAGAAGCTAGCGGCCCCCACTCTCTTTTTCTTCCCCCTCCGGCCCGGCCCGGGATCCCGGGCGGACGCTCCTTCCCGCCGCCGGGAGGTCCCCTCGGCAGAGGGAGGCGGGGGCCGCTCGAGCGGCCCTTGAGGGCGGCGGCCGCGGGGGGGCGCTGGCCGCCCTCCGCCGCTGTGCTACCCGCGCCGGCCGCGGCAGTCCCGCTGCCCGCTCGGCGCGCAGCGGCTGGGCATAGATGAGGTGGTGTCCCCAACTCGCTCACTGAGCTCGAGCCTGACTTGTTCTGAGTCTTGTTCTGAGTAGATCATGAGGCACCAGTTAGTTATCTCTAGCATCAGTGTTTCCCACTGGAAACACTCAATATATAAAATATATAAAATATTGAGCTACACGCACGATTGAGAATTGCTTCTTGAACTGGGGCCTGAAGAATGTTACAGCTATAACTGATTGCTGCTAGTACATAAGACTAACACACAGGTACAGGTCAACCTTTTTTATTATAATTTAGTTATATTAAGAAATTTGTAATTTGGATTATTTTAAAAAAGCTCTCTGTCCTTCCTATAAAAAAGATCTCAACCTTAGCTTGCTGTTTAAAATCATTGTGCTTTTTGCTTTTTCTACAATAGAAGAAACTGCTACAGCTGTGCCTTTCTAAATCACTGCTGAGAGCACTAATTTTCTTCTTCAAATATGTCTGAGTATGAGACACTTCTGTGAATGTTTAAGTTAGGCTTGCTTTCATAATTTATGTTTTTAATTGTTACAATTGTGATCTTCCCAACATAATTTCCATAATTTAAAAAAAAAAGGAAAAAAAACTAAAATTGTTTTAATGAATTAAATATTTATCAGTGTATTTTGTATTTTGACTTGAAATATATCATGTTTTGGATCCTTCTGATTAAATTGAAAAACTTAGATTGTTCCTAGCCAACTTGGACACTTGAATAAAAGGAAAGGAAGGGGAAAAGCCCTTCTTCAAGTGTTGTATTTTGCGCAATTGTCTTCAGCCAGGAAGCATGTAATTTTACTAGCTCCCAGTAGTCATCTCTTACATAAGCACAGATCCCCCGCCGGGCTCCCCCCTGCCCCGCCGGCGCTACCCCTCGCCCCGGCACCATAACTATTTCCTTAAGCCCCGGGGAGAGGCCCGGGGGACACACGCTGAAGGGGCTCCCCCGCTGCTCTGGTGCGTTCCCTTCAAGGGCAGGCTCTGCCTCAGCTGTAGCTAGCTGCTGCGCGTTTTCCTCTAGGAGGGGAGAAACCCCACCAAACCAACGGTGGAGTTGGGTATCGAGTGGTAAACGCCTGACCCTGGCTAGTAACTTCTCCGGGGGTACCGAGGAATAACGTGTTGTTTAAGGACAGCCGAGGTGCGAGGAGGAGCAGGGTCGAGCAGGCAGGATCCGAGCGTCGCTGTGGTAAGGTTTAATGAGCTGGGCAGTTACAGCAAGGGCTTTGGTAAAAATAGCAGTGTGTCTGCTGCCCTTGAAACAATTGGTACTCCTGGGTTCTCCTGCGAAGAGCTGCAGCATTGCTGCTGCCACGGCCCCTGTCAAACCTCACCTATCTCCTCTCGCATATTTCTTCTAATACGTGTGCTGGCATCTGTAGCTCTGCCCTTGAAGTCAGGCACCCGGCCATGATCCTTGAATTTTCAGTTTTCAAAGCAATGCTATTGATTGACATAATAATAATGTTCTTTCATTATTATCTTGTATCTGCACATTAGTTCTGCAGAGTGCACCGACGAAAAAAGGAAAAGTGCCCACTTCTTTTTTCTTCCCAGAAGAAAACAAAGTAGAAGTTGTAAAACTTTTATTTGCTCTCTGATGAAGTGGGAGGAAAATACTCTCTTAACATCACTTGTTGTATTATATCTTGCTCTTGGGAGCCTGCGGGAAGATGACAAAGGGCTGTGTGTGCCCTTAGATTTAAGGATATCCAAAACCCCATAAAAGTTTTTCAGAGAAAAGCTCTTGGAGCAGACAGAAGTTTTGCATTTGTAGGACGGTTTCTCGCATAATAGTTGCCAAGGATACAGCATCCAGCGAACAGAGCTCTGCCTAACGCACAAAACCTTTGGAAGCTCTTGGTGCGCTGGGTCAGTTCTGTTTTCATGTGCTCAGTCGTCCCCAATTCAGAGACTGGTCCCATTGTTTTCACGGAAGGCTTTTTTTTTTGGAGTCAGAGCTAATTAAAAGAAGCGCAGGATGGATTCTGACACTTAGTGAAGTAAAGACAAAGATACTTTAAAATGTGCTTTTAGTTAATTCAACTTTGTTTTCATTGGTATTCCACTCTGTTGGGTTTTGCTTCTACTTTGCTTTGAATATTGTCCTGGAACTTTTTTTTATAATCCTATAGTCACCCAAAAAACCCCCCTAGGGTTTAGTGTTTTAGGAACCACCCAAAATCCATGGGCGCTTCTTTACATTTAACTCCTGCCCACTGTTTCAGTTTGCATCATGTTTCAGAAGTTTGTTTAATGTTTGGAAACTGGACTTACAGCCCTTAAATGAAAGATGGCTTAAGTCTCTAGAGGTGCTGTAAACCCAGCTACTGAAAGACAGGTACTCTGCTAAAGGCAAGTCATGTCCCAGTGACTTGTTAATCTAAGGTTCTCACTCTTCCATACATTTTATTTCTGCTGTTTTAATGATGTGGGAAGGCTCATTGAAATCTGCTTACGTGGTTACAATTACCTTTGTGTTTGCAGGACCTATTTCTAGAGTCATTAATTATGTCTCTTGGCCTTCTCTTAGCTTCTAAAAAGGAAAAAAAAAAAGTTGATTAGACTTGTTTACCTTAACTAGTTAAACTGAAAGCTTAGTTCTTTGCGTGCACTTGGAGTTAGTGCAGTCTATCTGTGTTTGGCATTACATCTTTGTGTGTGTGATTTTGCAGAACCAATGGATTTGTGTCACTTTTTAAGGACAGGCTTTCCATTTTCTTTTTTGGAGGTAAGGGTATTCTTTCTGCAGCTTTTCCTCAAGCCCATTGTCACTTGGTCTCTAGAAGATCACCACGTTAGTTGACCAAGAAGGATTTTGTTCCATTTCTCCTAGACATCAGGACAAACTCTGTGATCTTGGAGGAATGCAGCTGTCAAAGCAGAGTATAGGTTGAAATTCTGGTGTCAGTTCATGTTAACACATTTGAGGCTTGATTGATTAATTGCTTTGAAAATTAGTGAGCTAATGGATTGATGGTCTGTTTAGTACCCTGATGGTGACTAGAGAAAAATACCCTGAAATAGACTCAAATACGTAGTAACTGATGTCTAAATCATTCCTGAAACCTTCTAAACCATTGGCCTTCTTGCCAGCAAGTTCCAATGATGGATGCTAACTTTCTTTCATCTGTTTTTAAGTTATCATCTTTTGACTCGGATGAATATTCACTTATCCTCTGAACGGAGGTGCCAACTTGCTGCCTTCAAATCACCAGCTGGTTTGTGCATCTCTGCGCAGAGGACGTGCTGCTGTGGGATGTACTCAAGAGACTGAAGTCAGTAGCGGGAATCTGGCTCACTTCAGCGTCAGATTTCGCCATTGCTGAGTTCAAACTCCCAGTGATGAGGGTATTTTTGTAATTAACCGAATAGCTTGTATATTGCAAGTCACTGTAAGTTAAATATTATAAACAATTATTAAGAAAGTAATTTAAAACTCAAACAAAAAATGCCTTGAAATTCTGACCTGCCATAGTATGACGTTAGTAGCTTTTTCATAACCAACAAATGTTAAAGTTTCACATGAAGGGCAGCATTTCTTTAGTCCATTTCTTTGGTAATACAACTCTTGATTTCGTATGTTTGTTTTGCTGCTGCTTCTTTTTAAACTCACAAGTATACTTGAGTCTGGAAGCAAGTCTAGATCTATAAAGTGTCTTCAGAGTGGCAATGTTTTTAGATCCTTGTGGAGGAGCGCAGTGAAATTAGGTGACTGAAATCCGTCTGTACTGGCTAGGATGGGCTTTACTGCCCTGAATGCATCAAGAATCTGGGTGAGGTGAAGCACCTCGGGTGGTTGATAGTATTTCTCCAATCCTTCTTTCAGTTGGAATTAGCTGCTTAATTGTAACCTTTTCCTTTCCCTTTTCCCCTCCACTTCTCTCTGTTCACACACCTTTTCCTACATATCTCTATTTCCTACATACTTCCTCATACCTCCAGCCATATCTCTGGGTGAAGCAGCTTACTGTACCCTGGGTTGAGCTCAGTTCTGCCCTGTGTTTGTGGCAGGTGTGCCTGGTGCCCGCTTGCCGAACTGAACCCCATGGGGCAGGGCACTGCTGTCAGGAACACTCGCCTTGGGTGGGTGTCCCCTGTGGATTCAGGTGCCGTGGGGCTAGATGGTGACACACCATCTCAGTTGCCAGTGCAACACAGTACCACAAATTCTGTTAGTGGTTTTTTGTAGCCACATCTACAAATTCTTGCTGAGTAACTAAGTCACGTTGCAGAGGTTTTTTTTGGGTTGCCCACATTAATTCGGTTCCCAAGGTGCCATTTTGGATTTGTCTTTCACTGCTTTGTTTCTGAGGATTTTAGGTGTCTCTTACTGTCCGCTGTATGAATAAGAACTGAATCTAGTCTGGACTCTGAATTCAGATGTCCCTTTTGCCCATTTCTGTGAACGCTGGGAAAATTCAGAACTGGATCTAAGTTTGTGGTTCAGGCCCAGTGCCAATAATGCGCTTTGAATCTAATTTGGTACTTTGGGTTTGTTGGTTTTGAATTGCTTTGAGTTACTTGATACTTCTGACTTGCTGACACAGGGTCGCTCAGGAGAGTGGATATATATACATGGCCGATGTCAAGTGGTGTGCTTTTTTTAGAGGTCTTCTTCATTATAACTTATTCATATAATTACAGCATGCTGAGTATGTTGCCATATTCTGTTTTTGCATTCCACTGTACCATTCAGTGTTGAGGCAGCTCTGTAAGAAATATATGTTCATAATTATATAGGAAATCACACTTTCTAATTTATGAAGAAGATGTAATGGAAATACTTTGTGTAATAATGAAAAACAAAACAAAACAAACCCCTCACAGTG